CTGATGATACTGAGCTGGTCTGAACCCTGATCCAGGACTGTGGTCTTTACTCTGACAGTCCTGGACCAGGTTTAGTCTGGACCCTGATGATACTGAGCTGGTCTGAACCCTGATCCAGGACTCTGGTCTTTACTCTGACAGTCCTGGACCAGGTTTAGTCTGGACCCTGATGCAGGACTGTGGTGAGGCATACCTTCCAGGGGATTTTGTTGAAGCTAACGATGTCACAGTGACTCTGAAAGATCTCCAGTGTCTCTAACATCTTATTCTGAGACTAAAAACTCTCCGACTCAGGACACATGGTCTTCAGGTGTGAGAGGACTTCAGACTTTTCTGGGGACCTGAGTTGTTTCCACAGCTCCACCCTCATCTGCCAGTCACACGCTGTTCCCAGGAGGACTGAAAGTGTTACCAATCAAATATTGTCACAATCATGATTTTGGCCCCCCACGTTTATTACTCATGCTCCGCCCACATAAAATCTTTTCATGTTAAGTTTAACTTTCAGTGAAACTCATTTACTGTTGGACTGTTTGAACAAAACTCTACATTTAAATATTCGCTCCAAACATTCAGATTAAAAACATGTTCTGATGTCTGTATCATGATGAACTGAATCCACACACACGTTCACACACTGGTGGCCAAGGCTGCTGCACATGGCGCCACCTGCTGCTCAGTAACCATTCACACACTGATGAACAGCCATCACAAGTAATTTGGGGTTCAGGGACACTTGGACATGCGGACTGGAGGAGCCGGGGATCGATTGGCTGTTGATGTCAGAGTGAACATAAAGAGTCAGGACTTTCCACAGACTCTGCTGCGTTCAGGTGCTGCAGGAAAATTCATTGTCCTCATGTTGACTTACAGTTAATCCTCAGTATCAGAGGTGAAGGTGGTGAATTCCTGGTTTTACAGAGACACCTGAAGGCATCGTGTGGTCAGACTGGTTTTGGTGGTGAACAGAGAACGAGGAAACTGGAACACAAACTGTCCCAGTTCACTGAACAAACTGGTTTTCACAAGAAGAAGAAATGTGTCTCAGTGTTTGTCTTTTCTTTGTACAGAACACAACTTTATTTAAACGTGTCATTGAATCAGACGACTTTATGAGTTCCTACACAGCAGCAGTGACACAAACACATCATGTGAACACTAAGAACCACAGATACAGTGATGTCACATGTTACAGATGAGACCATTTATTCACTGATACACTTTGTTCATATTTTCTCTTTGTCCTGTTGAGTTGGTGACTCTGCGCCGCCGTCCATCACCATCTGTCAGCCCAGGTTCTGCAGCATGACGTCGGCCCTCAGTGTTTTTTAAATTTACTGGACAAAGACGGGCTGACGGCATGGTGGTGCAGTGATCAGCACTGTCAACACACAGCAGGAGGGTTCCTGGTTTGAACTGTTGGGTGGGGAAGTCCCTCTGTGTGGAGTCTGCATGTTCTCCTCGTGTCAGCGTGGGTTTCCTCCAGGTGCTCTGACATGTTCTCCTCGTGTCAGCGTGGGTTTCCTCCAGGTGCTCTGACATGTTCTCCCTGTGTCAGTGTGGGTTTCCTCCAGGTGCTCTGACATGTTCTCCCTGTGTCAGCGTGGGTTTCCTCCAGGTGCTCTGACATGTTTTCCCCGTGTCAGCGTGGGTTTCCTCCAGGTGCTCTGACATGTTCTCCCTGTGTCAGCGTGGGTTTCCTCCAGGTGCTCTGACATGTTCTCCCTGTGTCAGTGTGGGTTTCCTCCAGGTGCTCTGACATGTTCTCCCTGTGTCAGTGTGGGTTTCCTTTGTCTCCAGTTGCTCTTCCTGAGGTTTCTACCATTTTTCCCCGTTAAAGGATTTTTTGGGGAGTTTTTCCTGATCAGCTGTGAGGGTCATAAGGACAGAGGGATGTCGTATGCTGTAAAGCCCTGTGAGGCAAATTGTGATTCGTGATGTTGGGCTTTATAAATAAAATTGACTGAACAGATGTTGGACCCACAGCTAAGCACACTTCCCTCTTGAATCAATAATCAATATATTGACTCTTCACTGAGACTATTGACTCACATGTTTTTCTTTGACCATTTGAATGAAACTGATGTGACATCAAAGCTGAAACAGAAATGTTTAACAGGTGTAATCTTCAGTATGTCCACATGTATCCGTCATGTGTACCTTCATGTTTTGAAGGTGCAGTAATTCAGTCATGAGTTCATTTAACAAAGCACAAGGAAAACTGCGAAACATGATCTATGATGAATGTTACTGCATAAAAACATGTAAACAAGTGCCTCAGTAAATAAATAAATAAAGTCTGAACCCATTAAAGGGCCTGATCTTAACCTCAGTTCTAGTCAATGGAAATAAAGTGACTTTTAGCTGCTTCAACTGTCCTGCAGTTTAACATTTATAACAGTTATTTTAACATTTATTTTATTTTTTTATTTTTGATATAAGATATCTTTATTACTTTTTCAATTTATACAAGAAAAACATTGTACAAAAACATAAAAGCGCCTCATAATACACAGAACATGGTGAACAAAAACCCCCACACGGTGAAAAAACAAACTAATAAGTAAAAATAAATTCAAAGAAGATTTATATGAAGTACAGAAATATGTAAGAACATCAGGGAAAACAAAACAAAACCATACAACAGCACTGAAAGCTCAAATTGACAGTTGAAGGAATACGTGAGCAGATATCCAGGCATCACAGTGTTGCTATATGGTGTTTGGTTGATACCAAAACTCAAGTGTGGTTCTTTCTATGACTGACCAGATCAGTCCATAGAGGCCGTTCTGTAGAGTCTGTG